TGTCGGTAACGAGTGAGTAATAAGTGCAGAGGATACCACAAGAGTAATGAGTTTAGGGGACACCAAGAGAGTGTCGGTAACGAGTGAGTAATAAGTGCAGAGGATACCACAAGAGTAATGAGTTTAGGGGACACCAAGAGAGTGTCGGTAACGAGTGAGTAATAAGTGCAGAGGATACCACAAGAGTAATGAGTTTAGGGGACACCAAGAGAGTGTCGGTAACGAGTGAGTAATAAGTGCAGAGGATACCACAAGAGTAATGAGTTTAGGGGACACCAAGAGAGTGTCGGTAACGAGTGAGTAATAAGTGCAGAGGATACCACAAGAGTAATGAGTTTAGGGGACACCAAGAGAGTGTCGGTAACGAGTGAGTAATAAGTGCAGAGGATACCACAAGAGTAATGAGTTTAGGGGACACCAAGAGAGTGTCGGTAACGAGTGAGTAATAAGTGCAGAGGATACCACAAGAGTAATGAGTTTAGGGGACACCAAGAGAGTGTCGGTAACGAGTGAGTAATAAGTGCAGAGGATACCACAAGAGTAATGAGTTTAGGGGACACCAAGAGAGTGTCGGTAACGAGTGAGTAATAAGTGCAGAGGATACCACAAGAGTAATGAGTTTAGGGGACACCAAGAGAGTGTCGGTAACGAGTGAGTAATAAGTGCAGAGGATACCACAAGAGTAATGAGTTTAGGGGACACCAAGAGAGTGTCGGTAATGAAGCTTTCAGAACACCCAGAGAGTAGTGAGCTCACAAACAAGTTAATCAATAGTTGCGTAAAAAGATGCAATGTATATCATTTAAGAAGAAATAAAGAGAAACTAACCTTGGCAGTTCTGTTGTGAAGCATTACCAAACTGATAATCAATACACCTTTCACAATTGAATCCAGTAGTGTCAAACTGACAGTCAATACACTCGCCAGTTATGCTATCACATTGATCAGAATTACCATTACAATCACAGGCAGTACAGAACCCATTGGGTAGCTCTGGCTGACCATAGTAGAAATCCTCACATCTATGAACATAAACATAATGTGTGTGATTGTGTAGTTTGTTATATGGGGAGAGCATTGAGACTAACAGCAATACACTGTGTGGGATGTCTCAATTGAGAATGTTACATGATGTAAGCTTAGAAAAAAGTCCTGTGTACTGCACACATTATCTCATGTTGTTTGTATATTTTAATATTAAAATCTGCTAGGTACATGTAGTTCTTAAGAGAAGTGAAAAGGCTTAAAATTAATATGCAGGAATTTCAACCAAAACTAATCATGTCTGCGCATTACCCCAAAGCAATTATAAGTCCCAAGTTTCATTGAAATCTGTTCAATGGTACTTGAGAAACAAGTAAAAAAGCTTAAAATTGGTTAATCAATATACAAATTAGGTGATGAATATGCACAGATTGCAACAAGAAACTCATCCGGTCTGCACATTATCTTAGGCCATCTATGTATCAAGTCTCATTGAAATCGGTTAAGAAGTATGTAAGAAAACAGTGAATGTCTAAAATTAGGCGAGGGTTCTCCGAACCCGCCTATTCACATAGTTCATACCCACCATAGACTCCGCTGGGCTCTCTCTGGAATTTGCTAGGTAATAGTAAATTTACTAATCAAGAAAAAAAAGTATTAGTAAACTTTGTCTGGAAACTGCAGAGCATTTTCCCGCGACCGAGCACAACGGGGAAGAGAGAAGGAGAGGGAGGTGTCCCCTCTGTCGTCCGCCGACGGAAAACAAGAACAGCATGCTGAAAATGGTGCTTGCTGGTGCAACCTGAGCTCTAATTTTGTGTGTAATTTCATGACATCAAATTAGGCAGTCTGCTCTATAAAATGTA